CCATGCGATCAAGCTGGGTTCCACAAAGGATTCAGCACGATCAACCATATCCACATGATAACCAAGCTCATTGAGGTTTCTCAGGAGTTCAAGATGCCACTATGTCTAATGTTCATTGATACAAAGAAGGCCTTTGATTCTGTTGAGACAGAAGCAGTCATCGAAGCCTAGCCAAATAGGGCATTAAAACTCAATACATCAGGATCCTCCGTGAGCTGTACTATGGATTCTCTGCCAGGATCTCACCATTCTACACGGAAGTGATCATAGACGTCAAGTGAGGAGTTTGGCAGGGTGATACCATTTCACCGAAATTCTTCAGTGCTACCCTTGAGAACGTCATGAGATGAATAGAATGGGAAGGAATGGGAGTGAAAATAGAGGGTTGGCAACTACACCACCTCCGCTTTGCTGATGACATCGTTCTAATAACACTAAACATTAGCCAAGTAGTACAAATGCTGTACGACTTCGAACATGAGTGTGGAAAGTCGGACTACAGATGAATCTCATGAAGACAATGTTTATGAGAAACATTTTTGTTCCTGACCTTCCATTTGCTCTCAATGGAATGAATATCTCGAATGTAACAGTTATGTGTACCTAGATCAAAAAATCAACATGACAAATGACCCAGCACCTGACTTGTGCAGGAGGAAGAGAGCGGCTAGGAACACCTTCAAGGGGGTCGAAGAAATAGTTAAGAGGACGAAGAACCTCCAGCTCCAGGCACATCTCTTTGATTCCACTGTTCTTCCTTCATTAACATACGCCTCAGAGACCTGGGCCCTACAAAAACAGGATGAGAACGCTATTCTGGTCTCCCAAAAAGGAACGAAAAGAGCTGTGCTTGGAACATCACACTTCACTCAAATGAGAGAAAGAATCCAGAGTTCCGACCTCTGTCAACTGCCAAGAATCAGGGATGCTGTCTCATTTTCAAAGGTACCCAAAGTCAGATGGGCTGGACATGTAATGAGATTTGGAGATGACCACTGGACTGGAGCTATTACCGACTAGATTCCACAGGATGTCAAAAGATCGTATGACCGCCCACCTATGAGATGGTCAGACTTCTTCGTCAAGACCCTGAAAGATCAATTTGAGGCTTTTCATGTTCCTAGACCGAGCAGATGTCATTAGACTACACTAGCATGCGACAGGGACAAATGGTGACGTTACTGGTGCCCACTCGGCAAATTGATGAGTAACTGGATGTCAAGTTGTCAAGTGATCAAAGCATGAAAACACTCCTAGTATCTGTTGACAAATTTGTACATGCAAATTATTCAACCATTGGAAAGAGGAAATAGTGTTATTTGTGGTGATATGAACTAATTTGGAGAGCATTATGCTAAGCAATAGCCAGACACAGAATGGCAGATACTGTATGTCATCCCTTATATGTGAACTTGTTTTTAAATAACCATAATTAGGATTCAACCCACATACTGGAAGAAAATACTTTCACACCCCTCATCAGATATTTAATATCCAATATGTATAAAGCACTTTTACAACTTGTCAAGAAAAATAATTAAACCCTATCCAAGACTAGGGAGAAGAGACAAACAAGGAACTTGCTTAAGGAAAACTTACATATGGCAAATAGGTATATGAAAAAATGCCCTGCATCACTGATCATCAGGCAAATGAAAACCAAAACACTGAAATATCACATCAGTGAGAGTGTCATACATTAAAAATAGAAAAGTATCAACCATTGTTTCCCTGAATATTAAGGGGAACATCCACTGTTGGGCAATGTAGTCAGTTAAACCTTTTTGGGAAAAATTATAAACACTTCTCAAAAAATTTCCATGTAAAACAGCAACTCTACTTTCTTCATCTACCCGAAGTGCCGAGAAACTATACCTAGAGAGGAAATTTGCACTCTTGTTTTCATTTCATCACTATTAACAATAGCCAAATATGGAAACAGCCCACTTGTTCAAAAACATATGACTGGATAAAGAAATTATATGTAAAAGGAATACTATTCAACTATATATAAGAAAAGATGAATTCATACAGTTTGCTGCCATGTGGGTGGAACTGGATGGTCACATGCTATGTGACATCACTGTCACTGTCCTCCCGTTGTTCATCGATTTGCTCAAGCGGGCCCAGTAACGTCTCCATTGGAGACTTTGTTGTTACTGTGTTTGGCATATTGAATACATCACGGGTAGCTTGCCAGGCTCTGCCATGCGGGCGAGATACTCTTAGTAGCTTACCGGGCTCTCTGAGAGGGGCGGGGGAATCGAACTCGGATCAGCCATGTTGGCTGTGTGCAAGGCAAACGCCCTGCGGCTGTGCTATCGCTCCAGCCATGTGACATCAGCCAGAAGAATAACAGATAAAGAGTGTTCTCTTAGGTGGAATATAAAGAAGCAGAGTAAAGGAATAGTAGCACTACAGCACTGTCCTCCCGTTGTTCATCGATTCGCTTGAGCAGACACCAGTAACGTCTCCATTGTGAGACTTATTGTTACTGTTTTTTTTTTTTTTTTGCATATTGAATATGTCGCGGGTAGCTTGCCAGGCTTTACTGTGCGGGTAGGATACTCTTGGTAGCTTGCCATGCTCTATGAGAGAAGCAAAGAAATCAAACCCGGGTTCGCTGCATGCAAGGCAAATGCCCTACCCTCTGTGCTGTTGCTCTAGCCCAGGAAATGGTACATGCCCAAAATATCAGAATATGAGCTGTTAACTGGTCTATATAGTTGAGCTTACCATGGTGGAGTAATGGGAATGGGGATGTGGAAGTTTGGAAAGGGCTTGAGGGGGGAACCCTGAGGCAGTTGTGAAGGGAAGTGAATACTGTAGTGGAGGGTGTGGTGTTGGAATATTATATGCATGAAACCCTGTCATTTACAGTATTTGAATCATAGTGACCAAAGATTTGTAAATTTATAGGCACAGAGTAGGAAAGTGGTAGTTAAGGAGTGGGGGGTAGGAGGTGGATATAGGAGGAGGTTGATAAGGTACTTCATTTAAGTTATATGTTGAAGTTCTCTAAGCTAATGTATATCATGGTATCATTGCATGATTAAAATAGACTAAGAATAGAACTTTAATATTGTCATAAATAGTAAACATGATGACGTGGGGTGCTTGGTGACCCATTTTCACAATGTTTGTGTGTATCAAAGCATCATAGTGTACACTTTGAATATCTTCCAATAAAAATAGCAGTTATACCTCAGTAAAGATAAAAATGATTTTAATATCTTTTGATAAATGAGAGGTTATCAGTAATATTTGGTAATTGAAATACAAGAGTAAGGAATAGGAGAAAATTATGGTTCCCAGATATACTTTGAGACAGAATGATTAGCGTACTATTGACTGGTATAGATTCAGTAATGCACCATTAGTTTAGTGAGAAGCAGGAGAAACAGTTCTCTTGTAGACACATAGAGTTTGTTTTGTCCATTGGTCCATTTGATTGTTTCCAACTGGCATTTGTGTTTGGAACATAATAGAGAAATCTTGGCAGGATATATATTTGAAAATTATTAGGTGAAGAATATAGTTGTATTTGTGAGAATAGATGTGAACACCTAGGAGGAAATGCAGTATAAAAATAATAGAGCGGTGATAGTACAGCTGGTAGAGCATTTGCCTTGTACAAGACCTACCCAGATTCAATTCCTGCCAACCCATATGGTCCCCCAAGTCCCATCAGGAGTGATCCCTGAATATAGGGCCAGGAATTAGGCATAAACACCATCAGGCATGGCAGAAGAAATGAATTTAAAAAGTAGAATGTAAAGGCAGAGCCTTTAGAAATATTAACGAAGTTAATTATGATCAGTGATAGCTGATGAAGCCTAGTGCAATGTTGCTGTTGGAGAAGCTCAAAATGGTATCATCAAAGGCAATGTGAGGGAAGGTTTCAAGAATGGAATTAATAGTAGTTAAATGACATACAGCATTCAAGACATTCTCAATATGTGGCATTTCATAAGGCTTTGTTGATAATGTCATCTTGACTATCAAGAGGGTGGAGGGAGAGTTTTGTATACATCTGGCTCTCCTCAGGGATTGCTCTTGACTTTGTGTTCAGGATCACTTTTGGTAGGCTCATGGAACTATATAAGGTCCTGGGAACTGAATCCAGGTTGGCCGCATGCAAGACATATGCCCTACCTGTTATATTATTGCTCTGGCCCCAGTACTGGTAATTTTTTACATGAGTAGTTTTAATAGATAGTTGAGGGGATTATTATGTAGGAGTGTTTGAAGATTTAGTGGGAATTGCAGAACTGACAAACTTAATTTAAGAATGTTTGTTGTGGGGCTGGGCTGAAGCGATAGTACAGTGGTAGGGCATTTGCCTTGCATGCAGCCAATATGGCCGACCCGAGTTCGATTCCTCCGCCCTTCTCGGAGAGCCCAGCAAGCTACCGAGAGTATCTCACCCACACAGCAGAGCCTGGCAAGCTACCCGTGACATATTCGATATGCCAAACACAGTAACAACAAGTCTCATGATGGAGACGTTACTGGGCCCGCTCGAGCAAATCGATGAACAATGGGAGGACCGTGACCGTGACCGTTGTGGGGCTGGAGCAATAGCACGGCGGGTAGGGCCTTGCATGAAGCCAACCTGGGTTCAATTCCCAGCATCCCATATGGTCCCCTGAGCACCACTAGGAGTAATTCCTGAGTGCATGAGCCAGTAGTAACCCCTGAGCATCGCCAGGTGTGACCCTAAAAGCAAAAAAAAAAAAAAGGAAGAAAGAATATTTGTTGTGTATGAAAAGTGGTTCAGAGAAAATATTAGGAGGGAGTCATTACAGGCCAGTTCAACCTTTAGAATCCTTAAATATAAATTGAGAAATTTGGCAAATTTACATTTTATTTTCAAAGGAAAAGTTATAGTAGTATATTTGTTTGACTGTACAGAAAACGTTTATAAAATCTAATTATGACTTATTTAGACTTTATGCCTTTTTGAAAAATATTAATTTGTCTTTCATTTTGTTTTTCAGGAAAGACTCTGTTTGCCTCACCATATTTTAGAAGAAAGAGGTCTTGTGAAAGTTGGTGTCACAGTCCAAGCTCTTCTTGAATTACCTACAAACAAGGCATCTCAGCTCTCTACAGCTTGATACAACATTTAAAAATCATGAGTGTATACGTTTAGTTTATTTGAAGTGATTTCAAATATCACTAAATCATAAATAAGAATGGTTAATCAGGGCTTGATCTAATGCATTCTAACAGATCATGTGTTATTCCAAGTGTTATTGTTTTTTAAATTTATGTTAAAACACAAAAATTAAATTTTGAATTGCCCAAACTTATTTTGGGGAAAAACTGGATTAATGAGTTTTTGATAAATTCAAATTCTCTTTTCACTAAGTCAGTTGGTAAACTTTGTTATATTTCAAAAATAAGTGATACTAAATTGAAAATAATTTTTCAATATAATAATCACATTATGTTTAATAGTTTATATAATGTCATACTAGCAAACATCTGGAGACGGTAATAATTTTTACCAACTTAAAAGAAGTATATATTTGAGTTATTTAATACACTTCTATTTCTGGTTTATAAACAAGTTGTTCCATCTTTGGTCTTAGTTTTCTAGAACAAAAAGAAGAAAATCTAGAACTTTGACTTTATATTAAATTCTTTTTAGTATTATAGGTTGGTGCCAAAATATTTTCAGTTTTAATGTAGATTGTTTACATGTGAAGTGCCTGTGTAATTGATGGCTCTTATATAGTCTTAACCATTTTTGAAATTTCTTTTATCTATTAGTGGTATCTATGGAATCTAAAATATTTTAGTAGATTTTTTTTGTATGGTCAGTAATACGTGAGCATTTAAGTGTGCCTCACATTGTGACATTTGTGGGTTTTTTAGTCCATCACAGTTTTCCTTAAATTGGTTATTTCATGTTTAAAAAACAATGTTAATATGCTTAATTTATGCTATTTAATTTTGCAAAACTTAATCATCTTTTAGAATGTATTATTCCAAGAGTATTTTATTTCTGTTTTGAAATGTTACACAAAGCAGTGAACTTTTTTAGAACTAGCAAAGTACTAATTATCAAGATCATTTTGATAAAACTTCAGATGTTTGGGTTTATGTCTTCTCTTTCATAAACATATATCAGCATTTTGCTTCAGTTACATTCAGATAGAACAGCTGAGGTATAGCTTTTATTTGAAATACGGCCATTTGTAGATCCTGTAACCCCTGTGATCCTCAACTGACTTGATGTTGAATTAAGCAGATCATTCTATAAATATTTTCATAAGTATACAAGGTTAAATAAAGTCCTATTAAATTTAGAAATAGCTAAATTTACATTGGTAGCAATGCAAGAAATTTTTAAAAACATTATTGTATCAACTTGGTTTCCTATAGTAAAATCTCAGTATAATTACTTTTGTAGTAGGCAAAAGTAGACAAGCAAATACCATATCTTTAATATGTGATTATTTGCACTTGTTACCTCTTAATATGGATGCAATTTATTACAAGTGTTACTTGGGTCTTTCAAAGGATATATATATATATATAAAAAATAAAACTAGTGTGCCAAATGATGCAGTTATTGTTGATGTAGGAACAACTTCACTATTTTTTGGCTCTAGTATGTGGATGTGTTCTTTACATTCCCCAAGGGTCAAATTGGAAATTTTAAGAGTGAATTCTTACCATTTTAAATGACTATATCATTTAAAATTAGATTTTTAGTAATTTATTACTTTAAATATTGAAATAGTTACTATTTTTCAGTTGGATCTAACAAATTTCTTTGATATCAGCAATCTCCTTGGTGAAAATTTAGGTAATATAGGTAAGAAATGGGAGATAAATACCTTAGTTGTTAGTTTTTAATGTACAAATTTGACATTGTTACACATATTATAAAGTGGCCATTAAAAGTCATAGTGATCATTGACATTGCTTTTCTAGTTACTATGCTATAGAATTACTCTTATTAATCTAGATTTTAATTATTTTAAAATATTTTCTGTCTCATAGCATTGAAATATTAGTGAAATTCTAGCCATTTCCTTATTGTATTTCATTTATCAATTATTACTTCGAAGAGTAAATGCACCAGAACCTCATTATAGCATTCTTTACTGCAAAGCAAATTTTTATTTAATATGGTCCATGTGGAACCATATTGTGGCATTTATTTACTCTAGTGCCAAAAGGCAGTGCCAAGTTGGGCATAATTCTCAAAGATATATTATAACAAGGCTATAGTATGTTTCTTTCATTAGTTTTAAATAAGTATAAAAACTTATTCTAAATGCATTTTGTGGTACTTTATCAGTTATTGAATTAAGACGTTATCCTTTTAGTTGAATTTATTATTTGAAGAAGGTTAACTAATAAAAGTATTTTCATAGGGACAGGGATGCATCTCACTAGTAAAGTTCATATCTTCCATATGTGAGGCCTTTGGTTTGATCACTGGCACCAATTTAAAATTATATGTCCCTAAAAAATTCCGTAGATAACTACTTCTGCTAAATTTTATTACTATATGGCACAAGAAAGAGTTGATGTTGAATTGTTAGAATCAAAGAGTAAAATTAAATTACCATTTGTTTAATAATTATCTTTATAGGATGCTTGTTTAATGACTTTTCTAAATGAATTTTTTCAAGAATTCAGAAATATTTGTATTGGTCACAGATCTATGATCTTGATTGATTTTCTGATGCATTTAAAAATAAATGGAACACTAAATGTACATTGCCGATGGAAACTGTGCATAAAGTTGAATGAAAAACTGTAAGTCTGAGATTTCTTTCTTTCAACCTCCTTTCTCCTTGTGAAATTCATTTCTGTTAGTTTTGGGCAACTTATGTCATCATATATTTTTTTAATAATGTAAGAGTTCTGCTATTTATTCAGCCATTGATTAAGCTGATTGAATTGGACATGAACTCCACATTACTATTCTTTTTTTATTCAGAATGTTAATTTCATTGTATTATTTTATTATTATTTCCCCCACACCCCCTTTTTTATTCACTGTGAGATACAGTTACAAAGCTTTCATGTTTGAGCTTCTGTCATCAGTATGATTATCACTGCCCTCCCATTGTTCATTGATTTGCTCAAGCAGGCCCATTAACGTCTCCATCATGAGACTAGTTGTTACTGTGTTTGGCATATAGAACACATCACGGGGAGCTTGCCAGGCTTTGCCGTGCCGGCAGGATACTCTCGGTAGCTTGCCGGGCTCTCCAAGAGGGGTGGAGGAATCGAACTCGGGTCGGTCATGTTGGCTGTGTGCAAGGCAAATGCCCTACCTGCTGTGCTATTGCTCCAGCCCAAGCTTCCGTCATGCAATCATCAAACACCCATCCCTTCGTCAGTGCACATTTTCCACCACCAAAATCCCCAGTATTCCCTCCCACCCAGCCCCATTCCAACCTTTCCCCTGCTTGTGTAGCAGACAATTTCCCCTATACTCTCTTTCTGCTTTGATTACATTCGATATTTTGACATCAGTCTTACCACCACTCAAACCTGCCAACAAGGTAGTGCTAGACGATTTGTTTTGTATTGCTTGTTATGGATAGAATATAATGTCTAGGAAATTCTGTGTCATTCTCTTCCTGGAGCTTTAGTTTATAGTCTCTGGGTCTTGGCCATTGATGAGATAACATGGTGCCAGGGGCAGTTTGTGGGTGTGACTGCCAAGCTACTGGAAAACTGGGGACCTTGGAGGAGGAGACCCAGTCCTGATCCAAACGGGCCTGGAGATCTCAGTCACAGGTTCCTGCCTACCTCCGTGCTACAGACCCTAATTGTGTCTTTTGATCTCTTTTGAGATTTATGGGTCTCTGAAATAAGGCCAATAAGTGAGCTTACATAGCTGAGCCGGAGGTGGTTTGTGGGTGTGTCTTCCACATACCTAACTTTTGGCCGTTTAATTTCTTGGTAAACTTGGCCCTAAGATGTTGGGTTCTGGCCAAAGGCACAGTAGCAATTTTGGGATATATGGAAGTCTGAAGGCACCATCAGGCTGCTGATGCACTTGCCCCACAGGTACAGGTTGACCTGCTGGTGGCACCATACTCCCATATGTTCTCTTTTGTACAAAAATAGACTCAGAGAATATACTCAATCACTTATTGAGTCCAAATTCTCTTTGTATCATGTTGTTCTTTAAAGACAATGTTTTCTTTAACGAGCAGTAGTTGGGATCTGAGAGATATAACAAGAGGTAAGGCACTTGCTTTACTTGCAGCCATGGTGACACTCACCTAGTTCAGTTGTTGTTGGGCATTTGTTATTCCTTTACAATGTATCTTTAAATTCTACACATCCACATATGAGAAAGATATGTGGATGTGTATTGTTGAAATGATGTATACATAAAACTGTAGCCAAATTTTTGAAACAACCTGAGTGCCCGAGAACAGACGAATGGATAAAGAAATTGGCACATCTACACATTGAAATACTATGCAGTCTTTAGGAAAAATGAGATCTGAAATTTGCCTTTAAATGGATGGAAATGGAGAGTATTATGCTGAGCGAAATGAGTCAGAAGGAGACGGAAAGATACACAATGACTGCATTCATTTGTGGTATATAAAAATATATAGTAGAAGGTTAATATCCATAGCCAGGGAAAAGAGAGGCTAAGAGGACTGGTCAGTGATTGGAAATAACCACAAGTGTGGGTGGGACTGAGGGTAATAAGAGAGAGAAGAGACCAATATGACAGTAATAGCTGGAAATGATCACATTGGACCAGAACTGACTGTTAAAAGTAGGTAAAGAAATATTCCTGATAACTTTTCAGTACCTGTATTGCAAATCACAATGCCACAAACAGCAGAGAGAAACAGAGAAGAAAATTGCTGCCTGCAGGCTAGGGGTTGGGGATGGGGGCTGACGGGAGGGATGGGAAACTGGGGACACTGGTGCTGGAACATGTGCACTAGTGCACTAGTGGAGGGATGGGTGTTGGAACACTGTATTACTGAAACCTAATCACGAGCAGCTTTGTAATGGTCTATCTCAGTGATTCAATTTAAAAAAATGAAAAACAAAAAGAACATGGGTGACCAATAGACACATGAAAAATTGTTCATCACCACTTATTATCAGGGAAATCCAAGTAAGATGACAATGAGCCATCATCTTGTACCAGTGAGCATGGAGTATGTAAAAAAAAAATGGAAACAATCTGTGTTGGCAGGGATGTGGTGGAAAAAGAACTAACCCACTGCTGTTGGTAATGTCGTCTGTTTCAACCACTGTGGGAAACATGATAATGATTTCTCAGAAAAGTAAGAATTGTACTTCCTTGTGACCCAGAAATCTTACTTCCGAGTATTTAAACCCATTTCTACATTCAGGAGACGAAACTCATTCTAAAGGACATCTGCAT